AACACCTGCTGAGCACTCCTGCAGCAAATGAGGGGCGTAGTTTTCACTGATAACACAATTAGCATCAGGAGTCAAAGCACTTTGCAGGGAGAATGTACTGTGACAAGGCAGGCTGGGTGGCTGGTCTACACCGGCTGACTTTAAGAATGTGTGACACAGATTCAGAACATTCTGAACTTGCAAACACTGTGCCGTGTCCAGCATGACTTGTATATTGTCCTGGTTAAGATCCAGATGCGATGTGTACATGAAGTCCAGGATCTGCCCGATGCCGCTTACATTTTTAATATCCAAGTGAAAAACATCATTCTTCTGACCTGAAGAATTCTGAAAGAGGCTCCTGATAAAAGAAAGGATATCTGCTTACAGTGTTAACAGTTCATACATTCTGACAGCTTTTTTTAATAAATAATATTCATGTTAATATTCAAAATTACCATCCTTCTATAAATGCCAAGATTTTAAAATTAAGTATGCTTTAATCCTTTAAAAGGTTTTGGCAAGCCATCCAATAAAGCAATTCGGATGCACTGAATTAGTGTGTTGAATATCCAAACTTCCAAGGAAATCTCAACATAAAATTTTGAAATATACTCATTGTTCTTTTTTTCAAAATGCAATTATCCAAATGTACTACTAATTGCAGAGTACAGGAAACTAAAGAACACACATTTTCAATATTTTGTGTTTAGTCTGACAAAGTACATATCTCAGACCATAAAACACATACAAAAATATTTCCATATCTGTCTTAAAAACATCTGAAAATAAAAATAGCTATAATAAACCAACCCTAGATATACACTGATTTTTTAAAATTTCAATTTGTTAATTGTGGCAAAAGACACATAATAGCACACACTTGACTATGGTTCATATGATAAATTCAGTGGCATTAAGTACATTCACACTGTTGTACAACCATCACTACTAACCATTTCCAGCACCTTTTCAACATCCCAAACAGAAACTCTATACCCGTGAAACAATAACTCCCATTATCCCCATCCCCTCAGACCCTGGAAACCACCATTCTGCTTTCTGTCTCTAGGAATCTGACTACTCTAGGTACTTGATAGATACTCATTTTTTAAGCGGTAATTTATCTGGCTGTCAGATGTTTCTCAGCAACCCAATGGTCCATAAACCAGCAGTGAGAGAGCCCTATAAGTTAATGGGGGGAAAAGGCACCATAAAGCCCAGGCACTTTGTTCTGGGCACAAGTCAAGTTCACAGGTGAATGAATTTGTTGCATGTAAAAGTACCAAGTTGAGTCAGGTAAACTGTCTTGCAAGTTTGTTAGAGACCTCTTATCAAATGCAATCACCTGCATCCCCCAAACAGCCTTCAGTTCTGTTCTAATATGTGCTTAAGGAAAGTACATATCAGAAGTAGAGTGGGGAAAACTCAAAATAGCCAATGTATCACAACATCTAAACCTAACTGTTCTATGAAAACAGAACAGGCAAAGACCAAGTAGGGGACCATTTTGTACACGGGCAAAAAGTGCTGCCTACCTCAGTGAGCCAATCCACTATAATACAACTTGTAGCATATATGACAGCTGGGATTTAATTTGATGATTCGGGATTATCAAGGAATGAGTAAATCCTGTTCCATATGTTGTTTACTAGAGCAGTAAAATAGTATGAATTTTAGGGGGAAAAAGGTACTGAAAAAGCTTTAGTGCTTAAAGAGAGATAAATCTAGTTAAATCAGAAAATGTATGTAGAATACTTAATCTAATGTTAAAAATAAATGAAATACTATTGCTTGATATTATTATTTATAAGTAAATCTTTCACTGAGGCAAAAATAATTACAGGGGTAAGTAAACTGAGTTCAAACCTGTTTTCTTAGAATAGTCAAATGAGAAACAAAAACTAAAATGTTTTAACTAAAAAAAAATAGCATATAGAATGCTCTCTGATTTCTTATCAAAGAAATGTTCTTACCAGAAATTCTATTCCTCAATCTTTTTATCCTGAAAGGATAAGAAATGTATACAGAAGACGAACATTAATTGGAACTATTAAAATCAAACACAAAGTGCCAAAAGAGTTTCAAGTGCCCCAAATATATTTTAGTTAAAAGGTTCTTTCCCTCTCAGGTTACTCTAAATATTCAATACAAAAGCAAAAAACCCACAATGTGCTACAAAAGATAATGAGAGTGAAATCCAAGGAGAAAATAAAATTTAGTCAAAATAGTTCCATTCTAGAAGAGCTTTCTCTCCGTACAATTGGAAGAACAAAGTCTAAAATATGTACCTAAAGTACTGGCTGAAAGCTGCTAGAACATTCTTATGTGCTTTAAAGCAAACTCCTTTCACCACCAACATACAGTCACAAAGCAGGCCTTGAATACGCTGCTCGTGCAGCTGCTGGAGGAGATGGCAGCTGTGAGTAGCAACTGGGTCCATGCTCCACCATCCAGGAGACCTAGGACAAAGGACATGGATAAGTTGTGATTCCTGACGCCATCACCAGAAATCAAATGGCACCCAAACCCAGTGGCTGACCTGTGCTTCACTGTCATGATTCCCTGTCACAACAGTTTAAAAAAACGAGCAAAAAACATAGCTTCTGAAGCATCTACACCAATGCTGTTCAACAGAACCATCAGCAGTGATGGACATGTTCCTTATCTGCACTGCTCAATACAGCAGCCGTGAGCCACACAGGGCCGCTGAACACTGGGAATGTGGTGAGTACGACCGAGGAACTGAACATGTAATGTAATTTATACTTAAAGTCACCATATCTGGCAGTGCAAATCCAGAATATGACCATGCTAATACTACATGCACGTCTCTCATTTCTACTTAGATTACTTCAATGAAAAAATATACAGACAAAAACACTTATGAGGTTGGGAAATGGCCAGCTGGATACTATGAAATCAATTCTTATTGAGCAGCTGTATATGGGGCAATGAAGTAGAAGCTGAGGAAAATTACGAGCCTATTTGGGGAGATAAGACACAAGCCAAAATAAATGAACACACACCATAAGATGGCAATAAGGGAGGTACCGCAAGGCAGCACCTCCATCTGTTCGTCCCTCCAGCCTCTCTGACAAGGCGCTACTTTAGCAGAGACCTGAGGAAGGAACGGGAATGAGCCGGGGCTCCTGGAACAGAAACACTGGCAATCATGAAGTGTGAGCCGGAGCTGAGTGGGCAGCTGAAGCCAAGGGAGAGGGAGGATCTGACACCAGGGGGAAGGGAGAGGCAGGGAGGGGAAAGAGAAGCAGAGGGCCAGACCACGTAGAGCCTTGCAGGGCCTTTTAAGAACCTTGACTTTGACTCTGAATGGGACGGAAGCCATTATATGGATACAGAAAATTTCATCACTCAACATCTACTTACTGACTCCTCTGTGCCAGGCTCAAGGGCTACAACGGTAAGCAAAACACCCCAGGTCCCCACCCTCCTGAAGCTTACATTCCAGGGGAAGAAACACACACACAAGGACATGACAATGAAGCCAAACCGTCTGAGCTAGATACTTCATGAGTTAAGACACGGGCTCTGACGATGAGGAGCTCAGTCTAGTAAGAGATGGTGTTTGGAAGAGGAAAAGTGGGGAGAAATGGAGCCAGACTGAGATGAAACTATGGAAGTTAAAATGGCAGTTTGGTAGTAAAAACTAAAAAGCCATTACCTGCTTTATTTGTTTTCATTCTCAATACATAAGCATTAATGAAAATGTCACTAAACCATGAAGGCAAAATCTTTTTAACATGGCCTCTACTTCTATTATTGTTATTATTATTAAGCTTACTTCCTATTAATCCCAGGTGTGCCCTCCAAAATAAACTACCTGCAGCTCCCCAAACAAGCTGTGTTCCTGGCCAGTTTTGGACCCCTAGCCCACTACTCACTAGCTATACGACTGGGCAAATGACTTCTCTGTGTCCTACTTTCCTCATCCTATCTCACAGTTATTGAGATAATTGTGAGAACCCATGTGAACATTTAATATATCCCCTGGCATGTATTAAATATTCAACTCATGTTATCTAGAAAGAACACCTAGAGAGCCAGTTAAAATGCAGAGTCCTGGAGCCGAGGCATCTGCACTGTACACATCCAGGTGATTCTGGAGCAGGTGGACTGCAGACCTCTGCCTTGCTCTCTCCTCAAAAGTCTCTGGTTCTGATACTTCCTGTCCTGGGAATACTTTATTGACAAATGACTCTCCCACCTTCCAGATAACGCCCACGCTCTGAACAGGGTTTGGCTGAGCTGTCACCTGCTCCTGAAGTCCTTCCGGCCATGTTTCCCCTTCTCCACCGTTCCCTCCTCAAGTCTGACTTTGGGGTCACATCTGTGCGATCTTACCGCATAAATACTTCAGTAAGATACCCTGTCATTATGTCCTATCACCTGTGTCTCCAACTCTGCCGTGAGTTCTGAAGGTACCATCTTATCCACCTTCACCGGGCACACAGCAGATACTCAACCACTAAAATGCACGCTAGCTGATCTCTGCTGCTGGTTAGTAACGTTTTCTATTTGTTTCTTTTCAACTCCGTCTACATTCCCCACAACAGTGCTTCTGAATCCTTTCCATTCTCTTCATTCTCACCACGTCTGCCTCCCTCTTCCATAAAAATGACTGTGACGCTGACTTCACTAAGGTTGATTCCATGAATGACTTACTATACCCTGAGTGCCTTAAATTCCTTTTGTGATTCCAAATTTCCCCCTCACCCTCCTCAGTCCCTTCAGCTCAGAGGATGAAGCGCACCTTCTCCTTCCAAGGCTGACTTCCCTTCTCCTTTCCCTCTAGGACTCTGCTTCGTCACCCCTTTCAATGCTCCACTCTGTCCTCCTACTGGCTCACCAGTCCCTGTAAACACGCCAAGATGGCCCCGTGTTGAAAAAAGCAAAACAAAACAGGACAACAAACCTTTCCCCCAGGTACATCTAGTCATCACAGGCCCCCCCCTCACACGTTTGAAAGAGCAATCTACACACCCTACTTTACTTTCTCACCACTCCTTTTTTCACCTTACAACCTGCTGCCCTTCTCACTGTGCTGAAACAGACTCCCTGCAGTGGCCTGCCCTCAGTCCCTTCCCCCCAAGCTTTCCCACAACAGGTGGTGGTGCAGCCTGCCCACCTCCGCTGTGGAACTCCTCCTGCCCAGAAGGCTCCCGGTTCTCCATGTCCCTGATCTGTCCCATCTCCAGGCTGCACTCCTTCCCCTGTGAGCCCCCCACACGTTAATGTCCCTTAAGATTCAGCACCTGGGCCCTCTTCTCTTTCCTGTCACCATCACATCTATTCTTGGCTTTCACCTGGTCAGAGCAGACAATTCCTAAATTTGAAACCCCAGCTTCAGCCACCAGTTCCAAATGTTCAGCTTTCTGCTGAACATCTCCAACTGTATGACCCTTCAACTCAGAATCTCCACATCTCACCTCCCATCATCACACCTCCTGGTTCCTAAACCCTGGAGCCCATGCTCTTATGCCCATGAGAAAAAGGACATTAAAAACACAACATAGAACCTTCCTCCAAATGTTAAAATACAGCAAATATTCTGAATCTATATTAGACATTCTCTAGCTATAGAGAAGTGACATGCAAAGTTATGAACCATTCCACAGTTTACTTTGACTATAAAAATTGTAACTACTCTATATTACTTAGTGTAGTCCTCTAATTGCTTCACAATGAATCCTGCGCCTCCCCAGTAAGATTATAAAAAACTCCAGAAAACGAATCTGCATCTTGTATTTCTTATGTCTCCTATGAATAACAGCTATGAATAATAATGTATCATGTACCTAGTAACAATAATAATAACAAGTATTTATCAAATGTTTCCTCTATGCCATGCAGTATTTGAAGCTCTTTACACATATTAACTCATTTAATCCTCAGAATAACTGTAAAATAGATACTACATACTATTAGCCTCATTTTACAGACGAGGACAATGAGGCACTTGGTGGATAAAAGAGGTCCACAACTTCTCTGACCCTCTTCCCAAGGGGAGGTGGGATGTAGGTCTCCTCTCCTTGAATCTGAACAGCCTCTACCTTAATCAACAGAACAGGTAAACGGGTGTAAAGCTGTGCCCATTTCTGGGCCCAAGCCCTACAAGCCGACAGCTTCCACCTTCCATGTTTTGGACACTGGCTCTGGAAGGCCTGAGTCAACAGCAGGACTGTAAGACACCCAGCTGGAGAGAGCACATGGGGCAGGAGAAGGGCTCAGCTGAGTCCAGCCTTCCAGCCATTCCTTCCCAGGTACCAGATATGGGAGCAAGCCACAATGAATGCTCCACGCCAGCCCTTCCAGCTGATCACCACTCCCAGTCCATACATGTGGAGCTGAAGAACCACCCAGCACGGCCCTGCCTGAATTCCTGACCCACAAAACCGTGAGATAAAATAAAACAGTTTTTAAGTCACCAAGTTTTGGGATAGTTTGTCACACAGCAATAGATAACCTGAACAGAGTTACAGAGGACAAACACAGCTAATAAGTAATAGGTAATCAATAAGGCACAGAATTGGGATTTAAACCCAGGGAATCTGACTCCAAAGTCCACATGCTTAACCACTACTCCAAGTTACATGCAATAGCTCAAAGGCCTTCCTTGGAATAAGTCAGAAGCCTCTTCAGTCTACTACCTATACCTGACTGTCCAGGTGATCCCAGAGATAAGCACCAAAGTAAAGCACAGCACACATGAGGATGAACACGTGCAACATAGGCGCTGTGTTGTGATACAAGAAGCACGGGGCTCTCTATATATTTTCAGCTAACTCACTTTGTCACAAGGTAAAAAAATCTTCTGTCTTGTTGATCAGCGTATCTCTGGTACCCAGAAGAGTGCCTTCGACACAGTAGGTGCTCAATACATGGTTTCAGGATGGATGGAGACTCTGGGCCCCAGTTTTTTCCTCTGTGAAAGTGGAGGGGTTCCCCCATTGGGTTAGATAATCTCTAAGGTAACTTCCTGTTCTAAATGCTACAAATCTATACCAAGATAGTATAGATTACTATCTTGCTGACACCTTGATCTTGGACTTCTAGTTCCCAGAACTGTGAGAAAATAAACGTCTACTGTTCAAGGCCCCCACCAGGCTGCGGTATTTTGTTATAGCAGCCCTCACATACACCCTCTGTTCCATTCCCAGCCCTGCTCACCTCCAGAATGAAAGCCTCCTTATCACCCACACAGCCCCACTCTAGGCCTAATGCTTCTCACAATTCTCTGTTCAAACCCCGTTCAACCTTCATTCACCCATTGAAGCAACATACACTTAGTCTGCACCTCTGTGTGCGCGACCTGTCTCAAGGGCTGAGAAGAGCAGCCAAGCGATTAAGCCGCAGGCACTCTGAGAGCTTTACATTCACCAACTCATGAAATCCTACAAAAACCCCACCACGTAGGAACCT